AGGCGAAGCAAGGTAGCTGGTGATGTATTTTCGATATGGCGCGCCATTGACGGCGCGGCCGATCGCGTTTCAGGCAGGCAATGGCCTGCTACTCTTGTTGTGCGTCTACGTGCGCTTTTTGCTTTGTGTTGATCACTCGTAGTAGCCGTCGCTCTACTTCTAACATTCGCGACGACCACAGTCACAACGACGAGTCTTAGACATCAAATGCTGCGAAAAGTAGAGCCTGACACTTTCCCCACCGAACGAACACCGGCGCCAACGGCCGCGAGTTGGAAGGACTTCGCGCTTGGGCTTTTCCATAAAGTTGCAAGCCTCTTCTGGTCGAGTTCCCCTTCCGCGGATCTTTCGAAGGAAACCGACAATGGCCGCGCAGTCACGGAGTTATGGCTGGATCATTGAAAATAGAGGACGACAGAACGAGTGGGGAGTCGACTGAGATGCAATCTGTAGAAGTGAGTGGCGTTATGCTGGAGAACTCCCCTCCATGTATTATTTTGAAAGTGGAACTTTCATTCTAACTCGATCTCGTGTTTGTTGTTATTATCAAGTGGAATGTGATGCCGCTAATGATAATACGGCTACACCGGGAGCCAGATGCGCCACAGTTCTCGTCTTTGTTGCAGCTGCATATCGATGACTTTTTCAGGAGCAATGAGTTGGCAGAAAGAGTGGGGGATCTGGACGCGAGATGCGCGAACCTAGCAAAGAAAGGAAGGCAGCAGCTTACTTACTTGGAAACGACGCAAGTCCAAATCTCTGCGCCGTCCCGAACAATAACAAAATCAGCAGAGAAGGCTGCTCACATGTACTGCGACTGCGCTCCAAAAGAAGACGAGTTGCAGTTTCAGGCTCCATCATCACCCGTGTCACCTCCGCCTCGACCTCCATCACCACCAGCGCCACGGCCACCGGAAGGCGAACCAACTCCACTGGAAACGCGAGACACATCTCTTCTAGAATCTATTGCGGCGACGGCCCTGGGGGTGTTGGCGACGGTGAGCAACTTCATCAGACGCCCCAGCCGCACACCGTGTGTCTATCAGGTCATTGCCGTGACGGAACGTGATCGGAACGACGGCGGGCGAAATGATGGCGCGCTCCTAGTGCGCACATGGTTCAAGCAGACTACGGCGTCCCCTGTGTCGACCCGTTCGCTGTTTTGCAAAAAATTGCAAGAGGATCGAGTTATGGCTTTCGAGGAAAGCGTAGCTTTTCGCTTAGGCAAGTTTGAGCGAGTGAGGCCATACGAGAACACCTTACCACATGCAACGGGGGCCGCGCATCCTCCACGCGGGCGAAGCCACATTCTCCTTTCCACAGGCTTCCACTCCACAAGCTACAAGCAATTTCGTCTATCAGCAAAGCAAATGGTGAAAAGCAAAGACGTCAGTCCAAAAGAATTGCAAATCGGCAATCAGCAGGGTGTCCTATGTTGGAACACCCCAAACAAACAAAGTAACCAAGAGCCATGCGAAAGATGGGCAAGGCTAGGCAAAAGATCAACTTGCGCCACGAGTAGTACCTTCCTCACAGACACACAATAAAAATCAAACCTACGCCAACGATCTAGGGCGCAACTTTGTTCGCGAGCGTATTGACAATGTGACTTCACTCAAAAGAAGCAGAGCGTCGATCCTCGACGACCCTCCACAGTGCGCGGTAGTTCTACACAGGCTTCAACGGGCAGCAACGAGCTCGACACTGATCACCTACGAAGGCAAGGGTGAAGCAATGTCCTTCCCGAACAAGTCAAGGCGCTACGAAGTAGCGGGAATAATTAAAAATATCCATGCTCAACCGACACAGTCCGACAACTTCGCTCATGTCATCGAACACACCAACGACAGCGCAGGCTTGCCCAGAATCGGCCTTAGCTCCTGCGGTGAGCTACAATTATTGCAAGGCGAAAAAGACGGCTGGGAGTGTTCTCGTAGTCTGCGACTTTTCACTCTGAATCTCAGCACCTTCGTAACTAGTGCCAGAATTTGCATGCGGGGCTGAGGCCCCCCCAGTAACCGACACGATGTTCATCGCCACCAAAATCGCAGCTCTTGACTGCGGGCGTCCGTCGTGCACTCTTGTGCAAAGATATAACGAGCATGAGGACGGTGGTAATTTCTACTATGAGGCCACTTGCACTTGGAAGGTACCGGGTGGCTTCGCTTCTGACTGTGAAGCCTTCACACTGCCAGCGGACAAAGTGAGACGGGTGGGCGGTTCTGGTTGGCTGGGCACCACGTTTAGAAAGTCGCACAAACGCAAGACCGTCAAAAAACTGCCAGCGGGGCTAACCTGTAGCGCCAAGCACATCAACAACAACAGCAGCACTACACTCAAAAAGAAGCACACGCCGGCCAGGGTGCAGATGGATCATTCCCCCTGCATCTCAACAGTCACGAGGAGCACGGAGACCGCCGACAAGTCAACCAAGCTTGGAGAAGGGGCCGAGCCCCACCTGGTCTGCCGCGGTTGTGTGGTCTCCGAGGTCGGGTCTGGTGGTCTTCAATACAGAAGCCAACGCTTGCTATCGCACTTGCGACACAGAAGCAGCGCGTCATAAACTAGCTTCGGTCGGGTTCTCGGAAGAAGGAACGGAGGCAGCAAATCACTGCTGGAGTTATTATACCAAGCCAAGCAGACTCCTTCGCAAAGAGTAAGACACCAACGCCCACACGTCACAGGATCGCCTAAACATATAACAAATTGAACACTAAAAACATTACAGCGCATCGCCGAGGCTGCTGAGCTTCATAAACAAGACTGGAGAGCTTTAGCTTACAACGCGCCAAAGAAGCGAGAAGGTGACCGAGGCGCGAGCTTTTCGAGGTGGTCAGCAGGTTTCCCGGTTGCGTTTCTTTTGGCCAGAACGTCGGCACTTTCGTCAGCACGCATCTGCTGCGCACCCTTCTCATTTTAGCGGCACGGCCCCCGTCCTTCGCAGGCGCCATATCCATCATCTTACACTTCATACCGTAGGGAGAGCTCAGCGAGGTGCTGCGAGCGCTCACAGCTTTGCTTCATGATTTCGACGCCAAGCAATCAGCTGAAGAAGGTGCTAACAATGTCACAGCGATAGACTACACAACTCACAAAGGCCAGCAGGCCATCAATGGAAACCATACACAGCACCACATCGCGCGCAGCTCTTGCACGCGTTGGCTTCCACGATTCCGCACGGAACGAAGCGCGGCAACGAGCTCGCGAACTTGGTAAAAGTAATTAAATGTCTGGGAAATTGCCCAAGTGCACAGTCTTCGCACAGACAGGGCCACGCTTGTGCGTGAAGAGTCTCGCAGGCACTTCGTCCAGCTCTTTCCGTGGACACATCTCCGGGCTAGAGTAGAACGCAAACTTACAACAACGCTCACCGACTTCATAGGTAGACTGGAGCACAATCCTCAGCAGGTGGGGCATTCTGTGTCGAATCCGAACTGTTTTGCATGAGTTTACATTTCAACAAGGAGCCGCCCACACGTTGCGCGTGTGGGTCTTGCGGATCGGCATAGGGCAAAACATGCTCGGGGGCGACTTACCAACTCAAGACTTTTTTTGCTGGCGCAGCAGTGCGCCCAATCAGACAACAACAGCGCTCATAACTCGGCTTCGTCGTCCTCGTCAACAGCTTCGACGTTCACCAAGAAGAAGGGTCGCACAGGAACCAGCGGTGGGCTATCAGTTCGCGAACGCAAGAGCGAAGTATGCGACATGATTGAAGGCACGCGCTAGCGATCATGCCACACGGAACAAGCTGGACGCAACAAACGGGCCCGGAGCTCGTGGAGATAGCGGAGGGTGCAAGAAGTGCGAGGGCCGTGCTACTCTGTTAGGGAAGAAGTTCAACCGGATGGGAATCAACGTGAGCGCATCCGCATGGGCCCAGGCCCGTCGCGTTTCTTACTTGTTGTGCCCAAGCGGGAAGGAAGCACATAGCAAGCAACATGAGCAACATGGGAACAATCGACCGTAGTCCCATGACTCGCCAAACCATTTAAGAGGCCGCGAATGCGTCAGCACATCCCGCAAGAAATACACGGGGGCGGCCGCTAGTCATAGAATAAGCAGGGCACGGCGATGCTTTCCAGCTCTAGTAGTAACAAGGAAGAGCTTGGATGTTTTAAGCTAGAACGTATCAACAGAGTGCGGCACATTCTCGAAAAAGAAAAGCGCGCCACGTCCCACAGTCGAGGAAAAATGAGCGACGATACGAGCAAGATCGACCCGCGCCAGACGTGGACCGAAGGAAGAGGGTGAAGACTGGCGGCGCGGTGTTCAACGTCAGTGCCATAAGTATTGCCAGGGCAGCGATGGTAATGAGTGTCGGAACTTTCTCAACAACAAGAGCACAACAAGCAAACAGGAGCAACGTGGTAAGTGGGTCACTGACGTTTTTGAAGGGGACTGGGATGGAGTAGATCCATCGCACTGGGACCACAACGCCAACAACTGGGGATGGAATTACCGCACCCCGCCCACCTGTAGCAAGAAGGGCACCCTACTAGAGAAGAGCCAACAAGACAGCGAGAGAACCTCTGCAAAAGCAGCAGCGTGGTCGGTGTGCCGGGGTCCTCCACAGACACGGCCGCGCATTGCGCTCCCGCGTGCGCATGCCTGTCGTGCGACAAAAATGCGGCCCCACCAACCGACGTGTGCGCTTAGACTTACTGCGGCAACAGGGTACAAGCAGCGACGCAATGGCGTCGCAGCGGCATCTGCAAAACTTGCCACAACCCAACGAGAAAGGTGGAGCAGTGCATGGAATTTTTCATGTCGTGGCGCCGGGTGATGTGTCTGCGTGCATATGCCGACGCTGCAACTCGGGCCTGCACGCAGTGCGCATGAGAGCAATCGAGCAAGCAGTCATGGCACATCCAGCCAATTAAAGCAGAGCCTGGGGTTGGGGTTGCATCGTTCTAAACTGGTCACGCCGAGCCATTGCGCATCACTACAATCTATTAACCACCGGCCGAAGCGGGTAACATGAAGCAGGCGCCAGAGATTGTAGCGAAGTGCCCGTGGTGCTGTGACTATGTGGCTCTGTCCGAAAGAGAGAGGCCGGACGCGTGTGCATTATTGAAGCGGCCACCTTTCCAAGGACACGACGCCGCAACATGGCGACGCTGTCCTCTTCTGAGATCAGACTGATGCAATCAGAACAATCCAGCGAGCAGGCTAATGCCGCCATCGTCAAAGCAACCGAACAAATCAAGCTAGCTGAGGAGCAGCGCACGCATTAAAATAAATGGGCGATCCTCCTGCTGCCAATTAAAGGAGGAAGCCCCCTGAAGTGCCAAAAACACTTGCAGAAAGTCGCCAACCTTTAGCCGCGCGAGAAATTGTCGACCATGGCCAGCCACGCCCTGTTCTTAGTCGAATACTGCATCGGCCTCGCCCAGTCGCTAGCGCCGACGAAGACGGCACAAGCGGACAGAACAAAACGCAGCACGACAACGACCCAGGCAACGTCCGCTACGTGTTGTTCTACACGCTCAAGAGATGGGGCAAGGAAGGGCTTAAAGGCTTGAAACAATCTGGACCGTACACGTCGGGGATTCTTCAGTCTGGTTTTCTTTCCGCAGGTTGCGTCCGCGTCCTTGTCCAACATTCACGCAGAGCCGTTCAGTGATGAAGAGCTTGATGGCAGAGATTTCGAGCCAAGAACTAGATCATGCACGCAACTCGCGCAACAGACGCCCGCTCGCATACAATTCCACTTCCACCTACACCCCCCACAGCAACGCCTCAAGTGGAGGCGGTCCACCTGACTTGACAAGCGTCAGCGGCGAGGGTCCTACAGCAGCAAACTTGGCGACGCCAATGGTGGCGTTGGGTTTAGTGGAAACAACAGTCGTGGCTCAGACCCCGCGTGCCCTCCTGGTAATGAAGTAGGTCAGAATGAAGAGCAAAAGAATAGAAACAGCGAGGCGCCCAAGTCATCACTGGAGCGGGCGCCGAAGATAGCAGCAGCAGTCAGTGCTGCTTGGCTGAACGCTTGCCACGTCAGCGCGAAGCACTCGCGCGAGTTGCCGGCCCGTCTCGTTGCCGCAGCTGCTATCTCAACGGCAGCCAATGGCGTCAACGCTAACCACGGACCAGGCTGCCCGGCGTGCGAACGTGCTGGCAACGATTGCAAAAGGGAACGCAAGTCGTGCAATGGCCTGGGCATCACTGCAATTC